AATACGATACTGCACTCGATTTTCATCTTCGCCGATTCAGGACAATTCTGATTCGGTATTAGAAATCAAAAAGGAAAATCTTGACAATTTCTGGACCGGTCTGCAAAATGCATATGACGCAATAGTAGAATCTGACGACTCAGATCTACCTGAAAATTTTAAATCCTCGACTTACGCCAAGTACGAAAACTGCTTAGACCAAATTGAAGAAACAAAAGCAATGATTTCGGATCAATTAAAATTAATTAAAGCAATTGCACCTACTGCACAACCGAGAGTAGAGCTGCCACAAATTCAAGGTCAAGAGTCAAATTCAGGCATTCATCTCAAGGTGCCCGCATGTGATACAGAAATCTTTCATGGTGGTTATGAACAATGGCCGTCCTTCCGGGACATGTTTACAGCCGTTTACATAAACCACCCAAAATTATCAAATGCACAAAAATTGTATCACCTCCGATACAAAACGAAAGGTTAAGCAGGCGTCATAGTCAAACTGTTCGATGAAAATTCAATGCAAGAATATTGGTCGATAAGCAAGTAACGATACTAATGAACTTGCCTAAAATTCAGAAAGAAACAAGTGAATAATTTATTAAACTACAATCCACTGTTTCTAATTGTTTGTCGATTTTATCGACACAGAATATTCCCACAGACAGCTGGGACCCCATTCTGGTAAATTGCACCGCAGGACTACCAGAAAAATCGTTTTGTGGGAGCAATCGCTCTCATCTCGGAAAAAATGCCCAACGTGGCTGCAAATGAAAGAATTTCTAACAACCCAATATGAAATAGCAGAAAGGGTAGACAAAAAACTAGTTAGAACTAAAAACGCTTAAAACGACCTCAATAGAAGCTTCAATAGACCCCAAACCAGTAGCAACAAAAATTTAAATATAAGCTTTTTTAAAAATCAATCGTTCACATCCGAACAGTATAAACAAACGTCATGCGAACTGTGTACAGGAGGGCATAAGCTTAAATCTTGCGAGAAATTCAAAAAATTAAATATTGTCGATAGGAACTATTTTGTGAGAACAAAAATACATTGCACAAACTGCTTGTCACGTTCGCATACTCTAAAAGAGTGTGAAAGCAAATTCAATTGTGTATATTGTCACAAAAGATATCATTCTATGCTTCATATAATTAATTTTTCCAGTTCACCCCCAAACAGCGCAAATATGAAAAGAGCCACGGGTTTAGTTGCAACAGCAAATCCCGAAGTGCGAAATCTCGAAAATTGTCAAGAAACACCATGCTGCTCAAAGGCATTAAAAACAATAGATTTTCTATTTGATAGCGATCTCATACCACAGATAATACTCGAAGGTATTGAGAACATTTCAAATACACTTCTGGCACAAAATACTATTTTTGGTTGGGTCCTAAGTGGACTAGTTTCGGAACCAGTTATCACTATGACAACTTAAGTTAAAGAATTCTCAAACGAATACCTCAATTCACAATTGAAAAAATTTTGGGAGTTGGAAGAACTTCCCCCATTTCAATTACAACCCCAGAAGATCAGTATTGTGAAGACTTTTATAAAGCCACAACTACTAGATCAGATAATGGTCGGTACGTCGTACGACTACCACTAAAACGACAATTTCCTAACACACTCGCCTTAGGTCACTTTCGCACCTCTACATTACAGCAGTTTTTAAGTATGGAAAAAAACTTACTTAAAAAAGTTGAGCTTAAGCCAGAATATGATGGCGTGTTACAAGAATACCTCCATTTAGACCACATGGAGGAAGTAAGCGCAGGCGAAAAAATCATAAATGACAAAGCAAGTAAAATGAGTAAACTTGCCTCATCACGCAGTAGTAAAGCCAGATAAAAAACCAACAAAAGTCAGAAAGGTTTTCAGCGCCTCATGATCCACTAGCTCAGGAAATTCCCTAAATGATATTCTATGTACGGGACCCACACTCCAACCAGATTTAGTGACAATCACATTAAATTGGCGTATATTCAAATACGTATTCAATGGGGACCTTGAGAAAATGTATCGACAAATAGTCGAACATAAAGACGACCAAGATTTTTAGCGAATTATTTCCGGAAAATCTTCCAATAGTCCACTACGCGACTATAAATTAAAAACAGTTACCTTTGGCGTCAACTGTGCTCCATATGTAGCCATTCGAACACTCCCCGAATTGGCAGAAAACACAAAGTCAGAATTTCCTCTGGCAACCCAGGTGTTAAAAACACAAACGTATGTATACGATATCTTGTCTGGAAGTCACAGTCTTCCACAAGCATACGAGTCACTATCACAAGTGGTAAAAGCTCTCAAAACCGCAGGGTTTCCGTTGAAAAAGATAACGGCGAACCCCCCTAATATTTAAAAAAATATACCACATGAAAATGTATAAGATACTAATTTCTTTAAATTCAAAAAGGAAAGTACAACTAAAACTCTGGGGATCAAATGAAATGCAATATCTGACCAGTATTCATACAATACAAAGTCAATATCTGCATTATCTGCCATAACGAAGCGACAAATTCTATCCTCTGTGGCAAAATTTTTCGACCCCGCAGGATGGCTTTCGCCAGTTATGATACAAGCCAAAATCCCAATACAAGAATTATGGCTAGATGGAACCGACTGGGACGAATAAGTAAAGCCACTTCGTTTAGAAAAGTGGTCCCAGTTTGCGAAAAATCTAAACGATATCTCACAGATACAAATCCCACGATGGGTAAACTATGCCCCAGAGCACAAAGTCGAACTATACGGTTTTTGTGACGCCTCTGAAAAGACATATTGCGCCACTTTATACGTTCGCACACAAAGCGACACTGCGACCATAAGCCACTTACTAGTAGCAAAGGCAAAAATGGCTCCCTTAAAAACAATAACTCTACCACGACTTCAACTGTGTGGAGCGCTATTACTAGCCAAACTAGTATCTATGGTGCGAATGCATTTAAACATGGCAAAATACAAATTGTATCTGTGGTCCGATTCTGAAATTGTACTAGCCTGGTTAGAAAAACCATCACATGAATGGAAGACGTATATTCCCAATCGAACGTCTCAAATACTTGACCTAGTAGGATTAGCCACCTGGCGACACGTAGCCAGTGCTGACAATCCAGCTGATCTAGGTGCAAGAGGGTGCAAACCTTTGCACCTTGCCACCACCACCCTCTGGTGGAATGGCACCCGATGGTTAACAGAATCTCCTGATTCTTGGCCACAATCGCCCATGCGCAATATAATTGTCCCAGAAAGTCCAAAAATCGACTCCTTTCACACAGCAGTGGAGGATACTGACATCCTTGAGCGATTTTCTTCATTCTCTCAAGCCCTCAGAGTAATCGCCTATATATAATATAATATTTAAGTTCATAGAGCGACTTTAAATTAAATTTAGGGGAGTTCCCTCAGAATATCCCCAATGCGATACATTGACGCACCTAGAATTGCAAAAGGCAAAGGTCGCTCTAATCGCATCCACTCAAATACGCTACTTCAGCCGCGATATAACACTATTACGAGAATCAAAACCCATTGACAAAAAGAGTTCACTCTTAGTTCTTAACCCATTCCTAGACACGAAAGGTCTGATTCGTGCGAATGGTCGGCTTGCTAATTCAATCCTCACGTATAACGAACGCCACCCCCTAATCATACCAGAGAAATCTCGACTTGCCAATTTACTCCTCAGTTACAACCATATACTTATGCTTCACGCGGAACATCGCCTAATGCAGCATATAGTCCGCCAAGAGTTCTATATTCCCCGACTTAAGCCCCAAATAAAAAAATGCATTTTCATGTGCAGGAGCTGCATTCTGCATAAGCAGCACTTCCACCGGAACGCTGCAACTTCGCTCTGTCTTTCACCATTACAGGTGTCGATTTTGCTGGGCCTTTTCAAATAAAGGCGTCCATGCTAAGGTCGCCCACCATAATGAAAGGCTATGTGACTGTCTTGTTCTGTTTTACGACAAAAGCAGTGAACCTCGAGCTACGTACGAATCTGACTAAGGAGACTTTTCTCGCGGCATTTGCTCGCTTCGTCGGACGACGCGGCTTCCCCTGAAAACTAATGAGCGATAACGGCAAAACCTTTATTGGAGCCCAAAGAGCCACTGAAAAACAGTTTGTGGATTTTATTAGACGAGTATCACCTGAAATTCTTCAGAAGTATGCCCTCCAAGGCATTAATTGGCAGTTTATCCCCCCAAGCGCTCCTCTTATGGGCGGTTTATGGGAATCAGCTGTAAAAAGCTTCAAGTCCCACTTCAAAAAAGTAGCTGGAAATCACAAATTCAATTATGAAGAATTCACCACCTTATTAATTCTAATTGAAGCCGTTCTCAATTCACGGCTACTCACAACACTCTCGCAAGATCCCTCTGACTTCACATCCCTAACTCCTGGGTATTTTTTCAAAGGAGCTCCCATTCTGGCCATACCTGAGCCAGGCGTGGAGTCGCTATCCTTATTAAATTGCTGGGAAAGAATTAAAATTCTCCATCACGATTTCAGCCGCCGATGGAAAGAAGAATAGATAAACGATTTCCATAAACGATACCGTTGGAAGACTCCTGAACAAGTACCAAAACTTGGAGATTGTGTCATCATCCATGATGATTGTCTACCTCCTACCGAATGGCATTACGGCTCCGACGGTCACATACGAGTGGTTGATATTCGTACGCAAAACGGAACGCTAACCAGACCGCTCGTGAAGCTATGCTTTCTCCCAACCGCCGTTAATAGCGACACAGCAAGTCGTGAACAATCAACCGATACTACCGCAATATAATAATATAATCAAATCAAGAAACAAAAAACCGAAAAACTTGCTAATAAGCGTTAAAAATAAGAAATAACTAATAAAAAAATGGTCGATCAATACGACGACCCATTCATGCCACATAGCGTGGCACGATCATCCATATCCTTTATATTACAAATCTGCATAATTAAACAACTATTTAATACAGATTATCATGGATGTGGATGCGCCAACTCCTCCAACGCCAACTGTGCGGTCGGCTACCAACGTGCCACGCACGGGGCCCACCCCAACGCCCCGATCTGCAGTTGCAACTACCCCTGCAACGACACCGATATCAGCACCAGTTCCTCGTTGTGGCACGCGATGGTCGCCTTCAGAGGCAAATGACAGCAAGTTGCGCAGGCACACGGGCATTCTTTAAACTGCCTGTCGCATACGCATGTGACTCAAGCGTGTGAGTCCACGGGTCTGTGCTAAATTTGCTGCAAACCACATCACACGCACCTTCATCGCACCACGAGGCGCGACGTCGGTCGACCACCTATCCTTCGTAGCCGCGCAACAAGACCTTAACTCTCAACTCGTGCGGTACACCCGCGGAATGGAATATCAATATGTCGTCGTCAGCCTAGACCGCAACCATGTCGTTCCACGCGTCTGAGCAGCGTTGCGTCAACGCTACACCAGCTTCAGCGACTACTAGGCTATTCATTTGCCTAATGGGGCCGGGATGGCTAAATGACCACTCCATCCCCCTCACCATAAGACACTGTCACACTACATTCACCACATCAATTTACATCCACATCACCACACCTACTTACCATACATTCCACATCACTACACCATGCACTATGAAGACATCAATAGATACTATATAAGGGACTCAAAAGGAATCCCGTACGCTTTTTAGCATTCGATTCGCTTACGGCCACATCTTTCTATTCGAGCATCCGCCTAAAGTCACTTCGTTTTTCTTTCCTTTTACGAACGGTGAGTGAAATTAAAATTAATTTATTAGTTAAGTAAATAGTACCAGCTAAAAAAAAGGTAAATATTCAAACGATTTCAAGTTCTTTTTGAGAAAACTTCATTTCTCCAACTAGAAAATAAGGATAACTCTGTGCTTGATGTGAGAATAGATAGCCGTAAATTATTCAAAAGTTCGAATAAGGTATTGTGGCTTATTTTAGCGTCCATAGATGATTTTCCAAACGAATTGCAGTTTGCAATTGCACGCTTTACTGCGAAGAAGTAAATTATTAAAAAAAAAAATGGCTTGCATGTTAGTGTTTAACCTGTTAAAGAGAGCATTCGTTTATGCAATACCCCCGTTCGAACTTTTGTTACACTGAAAAAAGTAGTTGTTCTAAATGTAATCAAGTGGGTGACTACAAAGAAAGAATCGTTTTTTTTTTAAACAAATAAAAAATTTAAATACTGACCTGTCTTTTAAAAATGAAATGACAGATCACATCACATTACTCCTTTTAAATTTAAAGAAAGCATTTTATAGTCAGGAAATTTCAAGATGGTTTCCCAATTCCCTTTAGTTGCTTCAATTGTTGATTAAAAAAAGTAATACAAACGTAAACAAAGTTAACAAAGTTAACAAGAAAATATAATATCATTTCTCTTTAATTAAGTAATTCAGAGTTCGACCGAATATGTAGAAGTTTAAATAAAATCAACAATTGGGAAGCGACAGAGTTTAGGCAGTTCTTTTGGTATAGGTGAATTTGTCCTTAAAGATTACGTTGGTAGTGACCATTACTCTTTTTTTTCTCAGGTATAAGACTACTATCAGGCAATAAGTCATATAGCACTGCCAAAGAAATCTTGAAAGAATTCGTTGATTTGTTTGGAAATATTATATAATATATATACACGGAGGCCATTTAGTTAGTTACAATATACATGGTTTACTACATTAAGATTACTGTACTAAGCAATATGGTTTTCTAGATAAATTTTCCGCTTATAAGTTTGAAAACTACATGCAATATTTCAAAAAAAAAAACTTATGACTAAGCCCAATAAAAGACTGCGGCAATTACATTTATTACTTGAAGAAAGAAATAGTTAAGACTGCATTTTATTTCATTATGTTAAATTATTTAAAAATAATGTTGATACTGCCAAATGTTTATTTCTCAATCAGATGGATTCACCAACCAGCCCTATTCGAAGAAATTAGAACTGTCCAACAACGTCTTCGACTCCCGTAAAAGGTACATGTAAATTTATAATTTTCGTTTTAAATTTATTATTACGCATTTGTTATTGTAGAGCAATTGCTATTGAAGCAGAAAAAGTTTAATATTTGTAGCTACAACTCGGAGGCAAGCTTATCAAAACGACAGGAAAACACGGTAATCCAACACCAATCTAAAATGTATTTCATGAAAATTTGTAATCTATTACAGTTTATATCTTTTTTTCAGAGGATTTCAACATGTTAAAAACTATTTCTACTCAGAATATATAAAGCGAAGTTATTGGTTTGTTAAATTAGAATTATAATATAAGTATTATTATAATAATTATAAATTTATAATAATAATAATAAATTATAATAATTATAAATAAATAAAAAACATTTAAGTTAAAAAAAAAAATATTTTTATTTTGAGTTTCGAACTCTAAACTGATGGAATGACAAGCGTGTGGTTTACGCACTAGGCTATTATGGAATGTACCGTCGGGCTCTCGGGCAGCTCTCGTGTGAGAAAGAAGTATATAGTTTTATTACAGCAAAAAATATGTGAGCAATAAGGTGATGAAAAATCACATGCATACAAAAGTTTTGATTGTCAGATATACTGGCACGTTCAAGATGGGTATTAGGTATGTTTGTTTTTATCCAAGATCTTAAACTACCATAGGTAAATATGTATGTATTGTTTTATGTCATATGTTTAGTTTGTGTTTGTTTATGTATATATGTTTCGGCATTGTGGAAGATAAACATGTGTAAAGATATTTGACCAAAAATAATTTATTTAAAAAGATTATAAATAAATAGCAGTACAATAAAACAAATTGATTAAATGTTTTCGTGCCTCTAATTTGGAAAAACGAACACAACTGTTTTAATGTTAAGAGATTGTGCCATTTCAGTTTCAATTGATAATGCTGTCAAGCCTGCCAGTCTTTATTTACACAATGTAGAGCACACTAGATACTGACACAAGGAGTGTTAGCATCATCCGTATTGACGTAAATAAATTTGGAACAATATCTATTAATTCGTTTGAACAAATATAATTTAAGACGTCTAGGACTATACTGTTATGACCAATTTTTCCGCAAATATCTTGTAAGTCGCCCCTCAAACCATCCACACCCCCATATATTAAACATCACCGACACACAACATTCACCCTATACGACGACATCACCACTTAATATCTGAGTACACCATCCAGAATAACACAACACACCTGCATATCTCCCCACACAAACATCAACAAAAGAGCACTCGAGATAAAATCTTACGGTCGTGGCCTCTTTTTCATTTATGATGATTCTGCCTTTGTAATCGCGGGCTTACACCCACTAGACCTCTTAGCCAACGAGATTAAGAAGCCTGTAAGGGACTTTCCACCCAGGACCTAAGAGAAAATGCTCGAGCAGGGACGTTGAAGAGCTGGCAATGACAGTGGGAAGTTAGTCGAAATGGACGTTGGACATTCCGACTGATTCTAAACATTGACTCATGACTAAAAATACCACACGAAGAAGTATATTTTTACTTAACCCAAATTCTCACAGGGCATGGATATTTCAAAGCATATTTCAAGCGATTCAAGCCCGAGAATGATGATATATGCGATATTTGCGGAGATAAGACAATTCAGAATGTAAAGCATACGTCGTCATAAGGGGCGATACCTTAAGAGTACATTCGGTATAGACCTAACCCTAAAAAATTTAGTAAACCAAATGGTTTAATCAAAAGAAAAGTGGAATGCGGTATGCGAAATAGCCGCCAAAATCATAAAAACTCAAAGAGCCCGTGAATAGCAGCGAAGAAGACAACTCCAAAACTAAACGGACCACTAGAACACGAACCAGACAAACACATACCAAAACTATTAAAGAATATGGGAAGGGTTCGGCGAGAAACATTGCACGGAGCGGAATCAGATACCAAAAGAGGAGGGGTTTTGTTCGGATTAAATTTCCACTCTGACATGGGGTTCAGTCTTTCTTCCTCCTCATAATTAAATTTCTGCTTTCTGTTTTCTCAAGCGAACTGGTACCTGATTCGAGGGTTAATGGTAGGTTTATTACTTCTAATAATTCTCTTGCATCTACCAACAGTTGTTCAAAACCTATATCACTTCTACAATACTCGCAATCAATGCATAGCAACGTACACCACTGGGTGCTCCTATTTACGAAGTAACAATACTCCCGTTGTTGTTTATAATTTTTATTGGAATGCTTAAATAGGAAACTATATCTATATATATATTTTATATATTATATTATATACAAAAAAAAAAATCAAGTTATTTTGTAAATTATTTTATATTTTATTTAAATCTAATAAAATATGTAAAGAAAATTTGCAAAAATGCCGCCTTAAAATTCTTGCGCCCTATGCAATTGCCTAACTTGCCTATATCGGTGGCCCGACCCTGTCTATAGACAGTTAATGCAGGAGCATATTAAGCGCATCAGTCGGACATGACTTAGAAGCCCCGATAACTCCTGCACAGGCTATCCTCTGTACTCCATTTAATTTTTCGATACTATATTTTTTATTTTGGTCCAATGACGACCCTACATATCCACATAATTATCGGTTTTATGCCCCAGTTTCTGCTAAGTATTCTCTTGCACGTGTAATACGCTATATATGCTATTTTAATTCGTTTCTCAATATTAATTTTTCAGCTCAGTTTGGTAGCGAACTCGACCCTAGATATAGCTATAAGAGACAGAGAAATTGTAGTTTCCTGACTGCTGTTTAGGATCGGTTCATGATATCTTTCTAAATTGATACGTTTTAGTATTATAACTTCCACTGAAGGCTTACCTTAGTTGAATAAGAACTCAATTGAATTTTAAAGTGCTGCAGATTCATCCTAGCCTTGCGGATACCGAAACTGGTTTTGTTGTCAACTTTCGATATAGCCTCTATCGACATATCGCAAATGGCCACTAATATCAGTCTGCTTGACTTGTTAGGCTTCTCCTCATTAAAGCGCTATGTAGGTATATCAAATCAGGATGGCGAGACGCAAAGAATTCCTAATGATAACTTGAGTAAAAATTTAGATATCTTAATGAAACTTGGGCGGAAGCGGTCCACTGCCACGCTCACAAAATGCCGTTAATGAATAACTATAATTTACTACAACTGGGCCAAAAATTGGGTATTTGGAAACAGGGCATCGAAGTATAAAGGGATATCTGGGTTATAAAATTAGTCTTTCCAGTACCTACTCTTACAGTGCGAAATTTCACGAAATCGGAGTATGACTTTTCAAACCCCCAGTCTTTCGATATCTTTATAACCTTGGGAAATAATATTTTTATATGAGTTACATTTAACTCTAAAAGTATTTTTAAAACACTTTCACAATGGCAAACGCTACGTTAAGTTAAAAATTATTAGCTTGAAAAATTTCTGTCTCTTGGTATATTAGCTCTAAAAAAGTGTCATCCGTTTCAGGATAACTCATTGCTGTGTCGGTATGGTGGAAGGCACTAATGTAAAAGTGCTGTTTGCTACGGATTACAGGCACTGTGAAAATCACGTGCATATCCGGCCAACACATATTCATGTGAAGCAGTGCTTGCGTCCAGCCGTCTCAAGACACTGCATCAGCAGCATCACAGCAGGCATGGTAATATACTCGACCTTGTTGCAGAACTCGAGCTAAATTAACAATGTAAATGATAAAAAGAAATCCATGGAGAGACGAAGTCTCACTGCATAAGGTTAGGTAAGGGCAATAATTAAACTTTCAGTAGGAAACGTGGTGAGCATCATCTGAGTAATCAGGCAATCAGGAATAAAATGTAAAAGCTGACGAGTTGACACGCTCGAGGGATGCCGGAAATGCAGTTCCCTTGAGATCATTCAGCTCTTCTAAGGCTAGGCTGAAGCAAAGGGCTCTTGAGGAACATTTAGCATTTTGGAAAACTACAACAAAGAGCATACCACAAAAGTACTTTGGGGTGCTGTTGATGGTGGACAGATAAAAGATTTTATAGGAAAAAACTTTTATCCACTTAGCTTGCGCGCAGTTTAAATGGACCCGTCTGGGTCATTATTGATCCTTTGTCTTATGAAACCGAAAACTTACCCACTCCAACTGTAAGTTACTTGAAATGCAATGAAATGTTTTCGGAACACAATAAGCCAAGGAAAAAGAATTTGATTGAAGTCTGTCCGGTCCCATACCCCCAGAACACGATAACCTATTGGCTTCCAAGCTACATTGTAAGGAAATAGTGATGTGATTTCCTTACAGAAACATATTGTATATATGCCCATATGTCAACTTTAAGATAGCCAAGATAGCTAGGAATGACTTCAAGCTCAACTGTCACCTTAACTTTTAAGAATTTTGCGTTTAGCTTATTTCGAAGCTAATTTAACTGTATAAAACAAATTGCATTTTTTGTGGGTCATTTCTACCAGAAAATAAACGAAGTAATTTTTTAAGGTTTTTTATATTATATATTCCGAAAGGACAATGTTTTAAACTCTGCCTTAGGTTATTTTTATGTCTATCTATTTCAAAAATTGAAAATATTGGTCGCGCTAAGTTATAGAAACACAATACAGTAATAAATATATAGTTTTCGTTCCGGAATTGCTTCCGTCAGAGGGGATGGCTCCATCCTCCCAGCTGCAGTCAAACACACCAAGTCCAATAAAGCCAGAAGTTTACCACTTTCATTAAACGTTGGTACCGCTCTTGTCCGAGACCTGGGCGAAAGTTATATGTTCTTTGTGTTCATCGCATTAAGAAAATCAGTGGAAGGCCGCGCTTCCAAGTGTCTGTCATAGATATGTTTCTCTGAAATAACATGATGCGAATTCAAGGAATCGATTTTGCAGCAGTTTGAACGTAATGAAACTCGAGCCGCCATATAGTGAAGATAATACTGCAGAGAATCTTTGTATATCCTGAACCGCGTATATTAAGTTTGCCACCAAGAAGGAAACGTCGGAGACCCTATAAAATATATAAATAAACGATCAGCATGATGAGCTAAGTTGATTTAGCCATGTCCCTCTGTCTGTCAATCTGTTCGTCTGTCTGTATATATACAAACGAGTCCCTCAGTTTTTAAACTATCGATCTGAAATTTTGCACCTGTGCTTTCCTCACTAAGATGTTGCTCATTTGTCGGAACGGCCGATATCGGACCACTATAGCACATAGCTGCCATACAAACTGAACGATCTGATTCAAGTTCTGTGAAGGGTGAGTGACTGTTAAATTTAGTAAACAACTAAACAATAATTTTCATTTTTAACATGGGGCTGAACCTCTGAACGAATAAATAAATGAAGAAGAAAAAGAGATAGATAGATTCAACAAAAAAAAAAAAATGAGGAGACAGTACAGAAAAAACTCACGTTGAACAG